AAATAAGATATTAATGCATTTTCATTTGAAAAATGTTTTATTAAAATAAAATAAAAATAAGAAGTTTAGAAGATCAATCGTCATTTGTTTATTTTCTCTGAATATTGTGAGAAAATCTTAAAAGAGGGTACACCAGAATACCAGCAAACTTATAAGGGACCGGTTGGAGCTAAATTTTGTTTTTGAGATTTGTCTAGCCCAAATGAAAGATCATGTTAAGAAACCTATAAATCCAAAATACTGGCTTTTTCTGACTTTTCTATAAAAAATTTTTGTAGTCATAACTTATCATTTTTCGAGTTAAAGAATAAAAATTGAAAAAAGAGGTTTTCTCACATTTTCGTGGTATTTTGAGATTTTTTCAGCTATACTACGTTGCCTGAAGGCCGGATTGGTCTCAAAAGATGCAGAAAAGAGTTTTGTAAAAAATGGTTAAATTAGAAAATCTCAAAAAAATCTTTCAGTAATGAATATTATTTCATCAATGCAAGAGGGTCCCTAGTTTATAGAAGTCATTTTACGAAGAATTTGACTCTAGTCACCCCCAGTATTCTATACCAGATAAATGAATCTATTTTCTGAAAGCCCTTGAAATTCTGCGTCTTTTGGTATATAACTCAAAATGAAAAAAACTCGGACAGGGTTTTAGTGTGGAACATACTTTGCGAAAAAGTAGCAAAATCCTAGCAAAACTATATACAATTTGAAAAACACTGCTTTTATTTTCATCTTTTCTCCCATATATATCAGCTTTAGAACAAAAGAAATAATGTATTCAGAATCAGCACACAAAACTCCATTAGTTGCGGTACGTTTGAGGGTGTGGGTGAGTGTGCGTGAAGTAGAACAGTCGCACCTTCACCCACTCTCACACCTGTACTCACACTTAAATAGATATAATGAATTAATTATACTATTAAGTTAAGATATTTCATACATACTGATAATCCAATGTATGTAAGGCTATGATATAACTTAATTTTTACTGATTAATTCATTGTACCGATCTGGATGCACATACACACTTCCAAAAATAATACCAGTAATGCTCAAGAACTTTAACCAATTAGTATATGTTTCTTTTTTGTTAAATACTAGTCTTGATACTTTTCATAAATCATTGAATTCTGTCAATGTTAGAATGCAAATAGTTTTGCCTATGAACAACTTCTAATATATTTCATCTATAAAACCAGATCACCCAAAAATCTTCACAAGATATTTTTGAAAGTTTATAAAAAAGAATCTTGACATAAAAATTCAGCTCTATTTCTCGAAATCTAAAGAAGCTGATAATTTTTTTTAATGTTGATCATTATGTATTTATATGAAATGTTAAATCGATTTCAAAACATTTTTTATATTACAAAGAACGAAGCATGAAATGATGGTAAAACATCTGTTATTTAATAATATATGTAGCATGAAATATCTTCAATGATCACACCAGAAAACATGAAATCGTAGTAAAATATATTGATGAGAACTGGGAAGACATATTAAAGAAAATATTTGAGTTTTTTCATTAAAATGGCTTTTATTTTAATCGAAAGTCAATGAACTATAGTGGATTGAAATCATCATATAAACTATATGTATACATAATGAGTAATACTATACTTGTTAAACATGTGGATATGGAAATATCAAAAAGATTAAAAGATAAGTGATATTGGAAAATAATAGTGAACAAATTCTTCTTTAAATAATAAGCAAGGAAAAGATATGCATCGAGATATTTCAAATGTAAAAACAAGAGTTTAGAAATGTTCGTAGTAATGAACTGTCAACAGTTTTTTCAATGTATTATGATGCATATTAATCACTTTTACCATGAACTAAAGTACTGCACATGTCATACATTGATCTGCGCATGCAAATCAGTATATTATGTTATACTTGAATAGATATCAATAGCTTAATAATTCAGTAATACCTCATTATTTTTTTTTGAATTCTGTATCGGCTGAAGTTCGTTAATATTAAATTAGCGCATACTTTTTAAATATATATCAATGAAAATATTGTTTCAGTTTTTTGTTTCCTTTATATATATATAATATGTATATCGAAAAGAAAAAGAAACGAACGAGAAAAAAAAAGAGATGACACAAAAAACGCGAGAAAAGAAAAGTTGCTGCTATATCGTCTTCAATACACACGAAGAGATCTGAATTTCGCAACAAGTTTATCATGCTAATGCACGAACTTATTGCGCAATAATCGGCAAAAAAAGAAAATGTTTGAAGAACTAGTAAAATTACGTAAAATATAAACGATCAGTTAGAGAAGAGAAAAACTCATGTATATAGAAAGCAATGAAAAGTGTATAAAATTTCTTTTTTTTCTATCGTGGATAATCACGTGTCTGTTGTTGTGGATACGGATATGGTTCTAGAATATAAAAACAAAATTAATTCATATATGGAATATTAAAAAAACAAATATGATATTTACGTTTAGATACGGAAGACCATTCATTGATAACTCCTGGAGGAACAACAGTAGTTGATGTTGGCATATGTCGTTTACGTTCACTACCGATCGCGGCTGGTACCATTTTGTGGTCATTACCGGTACTTGTAGACGATAATGAAGGACCGGTTGAATGATTACTATTGGAAATGATAACAGTCGGATCAACTACAATAAAATTATTATATTTGAATAATAAAAAAAAGTAATCTAGTATTACCTGAAGGTAATGATATATCATCACTGTTTGTATTTACATTTGGTGATATAGGAATATTGTTCGGTTGTTGTTGTTGTTGTGTTCTTGATAAAAAATTTGTATAATAATAGCTAGCAACAAGTGCTGCTGCTTGATTCGTATCTTGTGGTAATTGTCCTCTTGATGCTAATATATTTGCTATTTGTAATGTTGTTGGTAATTGTGGTGGTGGTGGAAGTGGTTGTTGAACTAGATGTTGTTGTTGATTGGTTTGTAAATGATAAAAATGTACGACTTGATTTTGTACATGTTGAATTGCTTCCATATCTGATTGTTGACATGAACGTGTAGGAGGAATATTTGGATAGACTGGTGGTTGTTGTTGTTGGTGCTGCTGCTGATGTTGCTGTTGTTGTTGTTGTTCCATAAGACGTGCTATATTCATAATATTTGATGATAATGGTCCTTGAAATTCTGGTGCACTTGGATTTAGACTTGATCGATTTGAATAAGCTGAATTATTATTATGTAATAATTGTTGATAGATAGGGGCTGGATTAGATGAAAATTTAGATGGTAATTGAAAAGGATTTTCATCGGCTAATATTGGTGGACGATTTGAACCAATAGGTCCAAATGGTTTTTGTTGATCTAATGTTGGAAATAATGGTTGTGGTTGAATAAAATGATTTGTTTGTTGTTTGAGAGATGAGGGTGATGATGATGTTGATGATGTTGTTGATGAACCTGTTTGACCATTTTGATCAACAGGAATCTTAGTAAGAGATGGAGATATTGATTGATGAGTACGATTAGAACCTGGTGCACGACTTAATTGTGAAGTTGGTGATAATGAATCAAAATTTGTTGATGGAATTATTGATGTTGTTGTACTTGGTAGACCACGATAACCCGGTGCTATTTTAGGATCTGATGATTGTGATGTTAAAGATGTTGGTTCATTCATTGTTATAACAATTGGTTCTTGATGAGATTGTTTATTTGGTACATTCATTTTAGCAACATTAGCAAAATTCATTTTTGTTGTTGATTCATCATTATTAGTTATTGTTTGATTTGTTGATTCTTTTGTTTTAGTAAGAACATCAACAATAGATGTAGTTAAAATATTTGAAGCAAATGGATTATATTCTCCTAAAGTTGTTGGTGCTGCAACAAGTAATGATGATGCTGTTGATGGAGTTTGGTAAGAAGTTGACAAAGATGATTTACTTGGTGATGTTTGATTTATATCTGATGATGATTGATAATTATTTGGATAATGTCTATGATGATTTATTGAATTTGTATATGAATA